ACCTTTTTAAAAAAATCTTTCATGTTTTTCTGAGCCATGGCTAAGTTAACATTCGCGTGCATTCAAAAAAATAATAGTAAAGATTCAAAAAACCATATTTATTAAACACATACTGTTTGAAAAGTATGCCCAATGCTTTTGGGTTATCTCATTTAATTCCCATAACAATCATATGCAATAAGAATCACTGTTCCCATTCCTCACAGATAAGGGAACTGAGGCTTATGTTCAGAGAAACGCGGTGACTTACCCAGAGCCATATAGATTTGTAAGTGGCTAGGGAAGATTCCGTTATAAGTATTTTGACTCCAAATCCCATCTCTTTTCCCCCAAGAAGAAATGGTGCTATGGGATTCATATAAGGCACAGAGCCTGTGTAAAAGCTGTGGTTAGGCCCAGAAACAGGGAGAGGTAGATCTCCTGATTTTTTTTTTTTTTTTAATCAGTATATCCTACATGCCGAAAAACCTACTGGGAGAAGAAATAGAATGAAATGTAGCTGCTTTCTGGGATTCATAAGTTTGCTGTTCCTAATAGATCACATCTCTTTCCTTTGGCTCCTCATCAAAACAGCATCCTTTTGGCTTCAAAGAGAAAAGAACCCTACTCTTTCCCACTCATTTATCATCAATCATAGGTGCCAACTAATCACAAGAGTTCCATTTTCCCTCTTTCCTGAGAATCTGGTTTCTCTAGGAAAGCCTATCAGTGGCAGCAGTGCTGACGGAGAACGAAATTTCTTGCACACCATTATGGCCCGAGTCACCCTCGCATCCAGTGCACATTCAGATCTGACATCACTGCCCAGGCAGTTGTGAGATATCTGTAAATTTTTAAGAACAGTTTCCCATGGATGATGCTGCAGACATCTGTAAGGAGGGAAAAGTTCAAGTGATGACAATCTCTACTCTACCTCGGCTGGCTCACTGTTGCCTTTAAGTTCTAACCACTTTGTTTCCCATACATCCTCCAAAGTCCAAATACCATCTTCTCTCGGGGGTGCCCCCGATCACTCCCCCAGTCTCCCACCACCAAGCTGGGTCAATGATAAATACGGAACACTCCATATGATCCTGTTATGGCATAATATTCAACACTGGAGATAATTCTGTCTTTAAAGCTCTAAGCCCCTCCCCCCGCTCCCCAGTAGACTCAAATGCCTAAAAGGAGAAGGAATATGAACTTTTTCACTTTGCATCCTTAATCCCAGCACATAGTAGGTGTTCAGTGAATATATGATAAATGGATGACTGCCCATTAAATGCACTCTTTGCATTTATACTTTCTATGCTTGCTCCCATTGTTTCTATCATCTTAAAATTCCTCTCCCCTTTCTGCTCCCCTCAAATATGAGAAAATTTGTTTCCTTACCTGGCAGGAAGTCTTGGTCATTACTTATATATTTATGTAAAATGTTCTTCTAATTAGTATATTCAATGTGATGTCCAGAGTTTCTCAAGTGATATACTCATTTAAATAATAAATACCTGGGACGCCCGGGAGGCTCAGTCAGTTAAGTGGCTGCCTTTGACTCAGGTCATGATCCCAGGGTTCTGGGATCAAGTCATACATCGGGCTCCTTGCTCAGCGCAAAGCCTACTTCTCCCTCTGCCTGCAGTTCCCCCTGCTTGTGCGCTCTTTCTCTCTCCCTGCCCCTGACAAATAAATAAATAAAATCTTGGGGCGCCTGGGTGGCTCAGTTGGTTAAGCGACTGCCTTCGGCTCAGGTCATGATCCTGGAGTCCCTGGATCGAGTCCCGCATCGGGCTCCCTGCTCAGCGGGGAGTCTGCTTCTCCCTCTGACCCTCCCCCCTCTCATGTGCTCTCTCTCATTCTCTCTCTCAAATAAATAAATAAAATCTTTAAAAAATAAATAAATAAATAAATAAATAAATAAATAAATAAATAAATAAAATCTTTAAAAATAAATAAATAAATAATACCTTACTAAACTTTCCAGTGATGTTCCCCCAGTTACTCAGAGCAGCCTTTTAATATTAAACATTAGTCAATATGAATCAGTATGAACTGAAGAATAAACTGACCTCAGATTGTGAAGGAATTGGAGTCCAAAATATGTTTGTAAACTGGTCCTTTCAAATGCAAATTTTCCCATAGAAATGCTTTAATAGGGCGCCTGGGTGGCTCAGTTGGTTAAGCGACTACCTTCGGCTCAGGTCATGATCCTGGAGTCCCGGGATCGAGTCCCGCATCGGGCTCCCTGCTCGGCGGGGAGCCTGCTTCTGCCTCTGACCCTCCTCCCTCTCATGCTGTCTCTCATTCTCTCTGTCTCAAATAAATAAATAAAATCTTTAAAAAAAAAAAAAAAAGAAAGAAATGCTTTAATAAATGATGGTTACAGTTCCAGCCTATTGAATAAAATTCTAGTCACTCCAGACACAGTATTAATGGAACCAGCCTGAGACGTGTACTCTTAGAGTTAGGGTCAAGAGAGAAAAGAAGAAAGAGAGGAGAATTTCCTCCCTACTTTCAAGCACCCGAGCTCATGGTCCCCAAGGGATTGTAAAGCATTAAGTTTCTTCCTTCCTGTTAGTGCCCTTGTGCCCAAGCTGAAGCAAATATTTACCTCTACCCTAGTTTTCAGTTATGGAGTTCACCCAGGCTGCTTTTTAATCTTTGAGATTCTTTAACCTTGACATTTCCACTTTTTCCTAGGCAAAATCCAACTGATCTCAACCAAATGTTAGAAGAACAAATAAGTAAATCAATACACATTAAGGCGTAAATGACTGCTAGCCCATAAACCTTTTATGAAGCATTTAATTTTTAATAGAGAATAGTTGTTTACCTAAAGGAATTTATATTTCTAAACTGGCATAATTTCAGTAACTATAATAAAATAAACTGAAAAATCAGCAAAATATAGGGAAATCCTTCTGTGTGAGGAAGAAATAGGTCATATCTCCCTGAGAGCCTAGCCCTAGTTTCCATTATATTTATTCCTCCTTTTCATCTTCTGTTTTAGAAACCACATATTTCTAAAAGTACCAAGGATTTTTTTGTCTGTTTGTTTGGTTTGGTTTTGCTTTTGGTTTGGATTTTTTATCCAAAGTGAGACCCAGGTTAACATTGAGTATTTTCTATAAGATCCTTTCAGGAACAAAATGTAAATTATTTCATTAGCCCCACGGAAACTAGTCTCAATATGTTATACTCACAGCTTTTAAGTTATATGCATTTACTCATTCTTTTGTCCTCTGGCTGCATTATTCATCAAACATTTATCATCTGTCCCCTGGAATAGGCTGGGGCCTCCAACAGTAAACAAGATTATTCAAAACAGGCCCTACCCTCAAGAAGCTGACATACCAGTGGAGAAGACAGGTCAACAGACCATTACAATACAGTGTCAATCCTTGCATCCAAAGTGCCAAAGTGGCTTAACAAATGGAACAGCCAATTGCCCAGACAAGTCAGAAAGGCTCCACAGAGGATGTGACATCTGCTTGTCTGTGGATACTAATGCTCCCATGAACGAAAAGAGAAGAAAAACATTTCAATTATATAAGGCTGAGTACACAAGGAGGAGATGATGGGGACAGGAAGCCAAAACCTTGGATAAGGAGAGTAACTACCTCTTGGGAGAGGCAAAGAGGCCACTTAAGAAGCTTTTCCTTCCTAGTGTTCGCTTTTAAAATCTAGCTACCTGAGTCTCATCCCTCTTACAGCACCACTTTATACCAAGATGAACGCTACCTTAGGTGTATGTGCTCATCCAGCTCTCCTGGATGCCAAGCACAGCTCTCCTGGTCAGACTAGTAGTGTCTTATTCTTGTCTAGGATACTTTGCTGAGAGGAATGAGAGGAATGCACAGCCATGCTCTTCTAGAGACCTGCTCCTGGTGTAGCAAGAGGATCTTTACCCAGCACCCCTTTCCCGCCCAGTCAGCCTCGCCTGTGCCCGATGCTGAGCTTTCACCTCAGAGTGTGCTGTGCCACATCCTGTGATGTTACCCTCACGGCATCCTCAGCCTCCCTCCCAAGGGTTTTCTGACAGACTCTGCTAGGGCAGAATATGTTGATGTTCTAAATCACATAAATGAATAGCCTGATTACTTGTTATGTAAAATATTGAAGCAAATATTTGCAGAAGTCTTTATGGAGCTCATTCCTGAGCACCTGATTCTTCCGAAAATCCTAGAGAACTGCCGCTATCTTAAGCCCCCACAAAAAGACATGTTTTATTGATAATCCTGACCTATTCTGCTCATTTGACATTCTTGTTATACAAATGGTTAACCTCAGAGTTCACTCCAGAAATCTCTGGCAAGCACACAAGTTAGGAGATTCAGTCTCTTGTGGTAGATTGAGTTTGAAATTAAAGAATAAAGTGGGTCTTGCCTGTAGTGGCCTGAGAAACCATGGCAAGAATCTGTTCCACAAAGTTTTGAGCACTCCCCCTTATCCCTTCCTAAATCAGTTCCCACAATGACCAATTTCCTCAGTAACCTAGAGGAAGCTATTCTGATGACTTCAGGGAGGATGCTAATAATGTTTATATTTAAGTAAAGATTGTGAAATGAAAGAAATGGTTTGAAGAATAAGATACAGATGTGTCACACTTCTGAGGTTAAAGACAAATTAATTAGCCTTGCCTACCTCTGGAAAAACTCAAGTGTTCCTGAATAACTAATTTAATTCAGTGTTATTTTCTGACACTTAGATTAGGCTTTTTTAATCAATTTGGAAGCTAGGATTTACTTCTAGAAAAAATGCAAAGGACCTAGATAAGTTTATTCACATAGGATCCCTACTTTCATTTGTCTGGAGGATATTTATCACTTCCTAGAAAAGCAATATGTTCTAAAAATTAATTCAAATGTGTAAACCTAGACTTTCTCAGTTCAGGTTTTCTCCAGAAAGTATCTATTTTTCCCTAAGACTAAAGTTGAGTTACTGTATTTATGATTGAAAATAATACTATATGTTTATAACCGAAAGTTAATTTTTTTTTACCTTTTCATTTTTATTTTCTCCAGGTGCATCTGGCATAGTGTCTGAGACTAATTAATTAACCCAAGAGTTCAAAATGATCCTCAACTCTACCACTGAAGATGGTATCAAAAGAATCCAAGATGACTGTCCCAAAGCTGGAAGGCACAATTACATATTTGTCATGATCCCTACTTTATACAGTATCATCTTTGTGGTGGGAATATTTGGAAACAGCTTGGTAGTGATTGTCATTTACTTTTACATGAAACTGAAGACTGTGGCCAGTGTTTTTCTTTTGAATTTAGCACTGGCTGACTTATGCTTTTTACTGACATTGCCACTGTGGGCTGTCTATACTGCGATGGAATACCGCTGGCCCTTTGGCAATTACCTATGTAAGATTGCTTCAGCCAGTGTCAGTTTCAACCTCTATGCCAGTGTGTTTCTACTTACATGTCTAAGCATCGATCGTTACCTGGCTATTGTTCATCCAATGAAGTCCCGCCTCCGGCGCACAATGCTTATGGCCAAAGTCACCTGCATCATTATTTGGCTACTGGCTGGCTTGGCCAGTTTGCCAACCATAATCCACCGAAATGTATTTTTCATCGAGAACACCAATATCACGGTTTGTGCTTTCCATTATGAATCCCAAAATTCAACCCTCCCCATTGGACTCGGCCTCACCAAGAATATACTGGGTTTCTTGTTTCCTTTTCTGATCATTCTTACAAGTTATACTCTTATTTGGAAGACCTTAAAGAGGGCTTATGAGATTCAGAAGAACAAGCCAAGAAATGATGATATTTTCAAGATAATTATGGCAATTGTACTTTTCTTTTTCTTTTCCTGGGTTCCCCACCAAATATTCACTTTTCTGGATGTATTGATCCAACTGGGCATCATACATGACTGTAAAATTGCAGATATTGTTGACACCGCCATGCCCATCACTATTTGCATAGCTTATTTTAACAATTGCCTGAATCCTCTCTTTTATGGCTTTCTGGGGAAGAAATTTAAAAAATATTTTCTCCAGCTTCTGAAATACATCCCCCCAAAGGCTAAATCCCACTCAAGCCTATCAACAAAAATGAGCACACTTTCCTACCGCCCCTCAGATCATGGAAATGCATCCACCAAGAAGTCTGCCTCATGTGTTGAAGTTGAGTGACACACTTGAAACCTGTCGCTGAAGTAATCTTGTGAAAGAAGGAGCAAGAAAAACATTCCTCTACAGCACTTCACTACCAAATGAGCATTAGCTACTTTTCAGAATTTAAGAAGAAAAAGGTTATGTGGTCTCAACGAAACTTTCCAAAGCTCTGAACAAAAGCTTTTCTTTCCCTGTGCAACAAAACAAAGCAAAGCCATATTTCGCCCCATTTTGCACTAGATAGATGATGGCCACTCAAAGAATGATGTCAGAAACTGGATGAATGTGTTGATTGGGAAAATTTTACTGACAGAAATGACATCTCCCCAGTCTGCTCTTGTTCTGCTATTTTTGATTTCCACATAAAGGTATTTGGAATATGTTAAACCCTGAGAGGAGCAACAGGGGATCAGAGCTCAAGATTGCTCTGCCCAATTTCCAAAGGGCAGGAAAGCTTTTGTTCCTATTTAGCTATTAGCAACTCTGGCCCACTTGTACATGCTACTGGCACATTTTGTACATAGACTTACTAAGCAGTGATCATCGAGTTTCAGAAACTTTTGTGAAAGTCAACTAATGTCTTTTAGATTCACACTGCCAAAATATGCCAGCTAATTGGCTTATTTGTACACAGATACTACCAAAGTCATATATAAAAGCTAAACTACTTGTAAAGGTATTACCCTGGTCCCAGGTAGTAGTGTCTTCCTAGTCATATCAGTTTTGTTTCATATCTGAGAAGTATATATATTTTGTGGTAAAAAGATTATATATCATAAAGTATGCCTTACAGTTATAAAAAGTGTATGTTCTATCTGTATATGTATATCTATATCTCTAAACTGTTACTTGATTAAAATCTGGCAAACCTTAAAATAATTTTATCATAATGTATTTAATCTTCATTACTTAAAATGGATGCTGATTTATTTTTAAAACAAGACAAATGTAACTATGAACACATTTCCATTTAAATTTTAATAAAACAGATAGTTTAATACTATTGCTTATAGATTTTATATCCTGCCATTGAAAAGATAAATAATACATTTTATTCCACTGCACAGCATGTAATAAATACATCCTTTTGAGTTTTTCGAAGTTTTTTATGCAACAAAGAAAAAAAACCAATTTCTTATAACACTAAAATAAGACATTATTTTACACATCATTTTTTAATAATAGGACTTTTCTAATTACATACATGATCATTGTAGGAAATGAAGATATAGGAAAGCATAAAAATAAGTTATATTTAGTTCTCCTGCTTAAAAATTACCATTTTTAACAGTTGGGTGCATTTTCTTCTACCTTTTTTGGATTCATTATACACACATACATATATAAATCATGATATTTGAGTCAGAATGTATATAGTACTTTGTATACAGATTTTTCATTTAATGTAATAGCATGGTAGCTTGTCACATCATTAAATATTTTTCTAAAACATTTTAATAATTGAATAACATTACAAGATACAGACACATTCTAATATAGTTAACTAGTCCTGAAACTGGGAGATTTAGCTTTTCTGATTTTTTGCTATCATAAATTGCACTGTGATAAATGTTCAAGTACTAAATCTGAAAAATTACTCAATACAGTTCTAGAAGTGGTACAACCGAGTATACAGATATGAACATTTTTTTTTAAAGATTTATTTATTTATTTATTTGAGAGAGAGAGCACATGAGAGGGGGGAGGGTCGGAGGGAGAAGCAGACTCCCTGCCGAGCAGAGAGCCCGATGCGGGACTCGATCCCGGGACTCCAGGACCATGACCTGAGCCGAAGGCAGTCGCTCAACCAACTGAGCCACCCAGGCGCCCCCAGATATGAACATTTTTAATTCTCTTAATACATATTGCCAAATATTTTCCAGAAAACTTATAACAATTTATAATACTACCAACTACGTATGAACATATCTCACCACAGTCCCAGCAGCATGGGATATTTACTAGATTTAAACAAAAAGGAAAATTTACTGTACTACAGGTACTACATGCAAGAACAGGGATGCACCTGCCCTAAAGGAAGTACTGTAGCATTTCTGCTCCACTTAGGCAGTTGCCTCATTTTTCTCCCTAGAGGCCTCCCTGGCTAGGGAGTCCACACGGAGCAGGCTGATGTGACCATCTGACTCAAAAAACATCAAAAAATGGGGGTGATGTACGAGATAGTCGATGGAAGCTGTAGGCAAAGGAGCGGGCATTCAGAGAGGTCTTGGTGGGCGGGTCAGAATCTCCACAAAGCAGCCTATTACATTCACACTCCCAAGCATAGAGAATTTATTTGAGAATAAATGTGGTTACAAATGTCTCATATTATCTTCCTTTTATATTGTTTTTAATTTCACTAATATAATGCCAGCCACTAACTCCAAAGTTCTGTTACTATTTTCACCAAGTATCACCTCTAAAAAATAAATTCTATCTTATCCCAAATTAGAGTGCAAACTTATCCTATTTGAATTCCCTCCAAGTCAAATGTATAACCCGTCCATTTTTTTATTCAATAGCCATCTTAATCTAAGTGATTACAAGTACTTCAAATTTGCCAAACCATTTGCTAAGTTACAGTTGATAAGATTTCTGGCAGATAATTGTATTTGGATACCCTCTATCTCATGTATTTATTAGCTGGCATGAATAACATGTTCCAAGCCTCGTTTTCATTTAAATTTAATCAAACTATATTGTGATTTTTTTCCCGGTTCCATTTGATGAAATGGACATTGGTAACTTCAATGATTAATATTGCTTTTTTCAGTAAGACCAACTTAATACTGAAGTAGAGACTCTACTTACCAAAATACTAGGATGAGATGCCATAATTTACTCTTCATTGACACATTCAGAAGTCAGGTGAACTCCATATTTTTTTGGAATGTTTTTAAAATGTATGCAGAAAGGAATATACACCATAATGTTATAGGTGCCAAATCATCCCAATATGCATTCCAACAGTAAACATTTCAATCAGCTGCTGTGGGCAGTATGAAAGAGAGCCAAGTAAGAAGTAGCTTGATTGGCAAGCCATGGAAAGGCTCACAGAGATCTGATACCACAGATTCTCAGTTTTAAACTCTGTACACTGGGTCTTTTTTTTTTTTCCCCAGGAGAACATGCCAATCTGGGGAACCACAGAAGAGAAAACAGATTCAGACAAATCATAAAAGTGAAGTGAGTGAAGAAAATGACTCCCAGGGAATCTTGGATACTGGTATGAAAGATGATTTCCCCAAGGATAAAGAAGAAAGTAAATCAGGAACAGATGAGACAGGAGTGAACAGAAGCCTAGAGGCAGTCACACACTGCCTCAATGCTCAGGGTGCAACCTTCACAAAAGAGCTGCATATGGATGTTTTGGTCTCCAGAGCCATGTTGTATCCACTGGACCAAAACTAAACACAGGAAGATGGAACCTAAATATTAAGGAGGGAAGCAAGTTATAAACAGTAGACAATGGTATGGGACAAGATTCAACTTTATGATTTTAAATATTTCAGGCTGCATGTTGGGAGAGAAAAGGTAGAACTTTTTGGTTCTAGAACCACATTGAAGCTTTGATGAGACTGAAAAATAAATGTAACAGGAATAAGAAAATGGAAGAGGTGGAATATCAGAGCTAATGGTCAGAGAGTCAGATTTTTGAAATTTAAAAATTAGACTGAATCAGTTAAAATATGACATCTGTAACTACATCCACTATCATCTGATATATTTGTGTAGTGAACACCTGTGGAACTATCTATGTAGTGCCCCTTCACCCCTTATCATAGGAATTTCCCCACCTCACCCAAGGACAGGACCACCTCAGAATGAACCATTTTCCTACCTAATCCTATCCCCAGGCCACAATTAATTGGTCCAGGCTTGAAGTGAACCAATCACAGATTTTTTTTTTTCCTAAAGATCTTTCAAACAGATACTGATAAACAGTTGGCCCTTTCCCAATGCTGGAAGTTGTGAAATGTAAGCTTGGAATCTATTAGCAGCCATGTCCCCAGTGAGAGTGAAGTTAACAGAAAGGGCAAAAAGCCCTGAGATGCTTGAGTCCTTGATTCTACCTGGGCCTGATGCCCATGTCATACTCCAGAACCAACATCCATGTCTCTAATCAAGGAACAGAATATAATGATCTATAGCTTGATAGCTACATGTGTTCATTCCCACTTGAGCAATAAGAATTTCCTCTCTGATGGCCAATAGACACATGAAAAGATACTCAACATCAGTAATCATTAGGGAAATACAAATCAAAACCACAATGACATATCACCTTATGCCATCAGAATGGCTAGAATCAAAGACAAGAATTAACAAGTGTTAACAAGGATGTAGAAAAAAAGGAACCCTCATGCACTATTATTGGTGGGCATGTAAATTGGTGCAGCCACTGATAAAAACAGTAGGGAGATTCCTCAAAAAATTAAAAATAGAAATATCATATGATCCAGTAATTCAACTGGACATTTACACAAAGAAAATAAAAACACTAATTCAAAAAGATATATGCACCCCTATGTTTATTGCAGCATTATTTACAATAGCCAAGATATGGAAGCAACTCAAGTGTCTATTGATAAATGAATGGATAAATAAGATGTGATATATATATATATATATGTATACACATACACACACACATATATATATACACGTATACATGCATAATGGAATATTACTCAGCAGTAAAAAAAAAAAGAATGAATGTTGCCATTTGCAACAACATGGGTGAATCTAGAGGGTATTATGCTACGGGAAATAAGTCAAGCAGAGAAAGACAAATACTATATAATTTCACTTATATGTGGAATCTAAAAAACAGTAGATAAAAGGAAATAAACAAATAAAAGGAAAAAATAAACAAAAGGAAACAAATAAACAAAAAGGAAAAACAGACCCAAAAATACAGAGAACAAACTATGGTTGCCAGAGGGGAAGTAGGTGAGGGGATGGGCAAAATGGGTGAAAGGGAGCGGGAGATACAAGTTTCCAGCTATGGAATAAATAAGTCATGGGAATAAAAGGTACAGCATAGGGAATATAGTCAATAGTATTGTAATAGTGTATGGTAACAGATGGTAACTACACTTGTGGGGAGGCATAGCATAACATATAGACTTGTTGAATCACTATGTTGTACACTTGAAACCAATGCCACATTGTGTGTCAACTATGTTTCAGTTAATAAATTTAAATATATTTATTTTTTAATAATAAAAATATATTTTATTATTAAATATAATAAAATAAAAAATAAAATTAATTTTTTTTTAATTTTTTAAAAAAAGATTTTCCTTTTAATAGTGGCCAGCACATCACTCACTGGCCATCTAGCAGGAATGATACAAGTTTAGGTCCCAAAATGTCTTGGTCCCTAACTTAATAAAGGGTTATATGGACTGTCCCTCTCTCATATGTCTCCTTATGAGAGGGTGAGGACTAGGATATCCAGTATGTGCATTAGAGGGGAAGAGATGTGGAGATATGGAAGGATTTATAGTTGGATGGGACTAAGGGAACTTACTGACAGTACCTACTGTTATAAATTATTGTAAATGGAGCTCTCCCCCTAAGGTAGCACATTTATAAAACACTCTGTGTTGCCCACAAAATTATGATAAATATGATTTAAACCATGAAATGGTGAGTATAGAGAGGAAATGAACACTCTGTAACACCTGAGAGCTCCAATACATGGCCTGCATGCTGTCTGGATTCCCTTCTTTCTCTGTGACCTGGATATTCTCTAAATCTCTTTAACCCTGTGAATACCACATCCTACCCTGCCCAAATCCAATGGACAAGACCTTCGTTCAACAAGTTGACCTACCTTACTTGAGAAATGAGGTAAATAAGGTCCAAAAATATAAATTTTCACAGTCAGAAAGAACCAGAATTAGATTACTGTCTTTTTTTCAAAAGACAATAAGATGAGAGAATTTAGCTTTAATAGTATTTGATTCTAAATCCACTAATATACAAATAAGCTTTGTATAATAACCCTCTAAGAGTTTAAATACCTGAGATTTACCCTTCAAGCAGTATGATAGGAAAATAGTTATATATGTGCACAAGAGATGTAAATTTGATGATTAAATGTTAATTTTGAAACTATTTTTTTAAGATTTAT